TAAAAAATCGTGTGTTTGTGTTGGGTGTGATGTGATGGATAAATTAATTTTTAAAAAATACTGCTAACGGTAATATCTACCTGAAATTTTTGAGTTTTATGTAGAATTCTATTACAAATCTAAATCGAAAACAATATCGAAGAATTTTTGTAGTATATTCTTTGAAATTTCATTCAATGGAAATATAGTACGTTTGTGCTTGATATGTTTTGCGGGAGAAAAATATATATTTTAAAATTTTATAAAATAAGGATTTCCTGAAAATTTTTATTTCGCAGTTTAAATTTACAACTAAATTTAAATAAATTTTACACGTTTTGAGAAAAATTTTTTTTATAAATTTAATTGTTAATATTAGTACGTAAATATAAACAATTTTAATTGTTTAAACAATTTCTTAAAAGTTTAATCAAATATCTTTAAAACGCAGTAAATTTCAAGTTCCTACAAATCAGAAATCATGTGGTCATTTTTTGCCAAAATCCGTCCGGTTTTTAAAAAAATGACCCATATGTAATGGAAACCATACTTGTATACCTAATAGTTAACTATTTATTAAACGCTTTAAGCTAAAAAAATTTCGAGACAACTAATTTATTTAATTTTTTTTGCAACAGCTGTTACCATAAAATAATTAGTAATTAATTAATATTTAGCTATTGCCTTAATATCAGATTTATATTAATGAAAATGTACTTGTATATCTTATGCAATACATTAAATCATCTTGACTTACTACATATTTTATTTGCTTATCACATCAAAGTCAACCGCAAAGATAAAAAAAATTTAAGAAATGTTCATATATTTTGGGAACAATTTATTTTTTCCAGCTTACATAATTTACTTTAATTCAATTTTCGCACTCTACACTCCATAAACTAAGGTCTGTTAGGTTTAAGCATTCAATATAAATCTTAATGTTTGAGTACTACTTTTAATTAATTTCTTTTTAAAATCTCTATATACACACTAATAATATGTGAACTCACGTAGCTATATTTTTTTTAATCTTTATATATATATTTACTAGATAACCCGACAAACGTTGTTTTGCCTTATAAATTATTTCTAGTTTCTAGATAAATTCTAGTGTAGACAAAAGGTAACTTACTTATTATAAGTGTAAGTATGTGGTATGTGCATGAAATAGGCATGGAGCGCTATGAACGAAAAGGAAAATAAAAATAATGTGAATAGAGTAACGTTCTTGCAAAGGCACCAAAATCATCCGTACTATTACACAATTCAAAAAATGCAGTGAGTGTAGATTTAGGTGGATTTATACCACGCTGACCGTTTTCAAGATGGACGGCTAACTGAACAGCTGCTGGATCCCGTTCATGAATTAGAAAACCGAAGATACGCCAAACAGCTTTATTGGAGCTGATGTACCGACCAATTTGGTAGAGCGTAATTTCGCCGTTTTTGTTCATTGGAGGAGCATTTACATTAGTATTTTCTACTCTAAACATAGCCATATCACTGCCTTTATGGACATACTTATATATTTGATGCTCTTCACAGAACTGCAAAACTCAATATTAATATGAGCATTGTATGTCTTGCTTAGCAGAGGCGAATACGGCCCCACCCGCCATTGTCCCCATTATCGGGATTTCTTCGACGATATATTGGATATCCGTCGGTATTTGTTATAGTATCATTAGTGAAATCTTTAGAAAAATTTTTAGTACATTTTCCATCTGCCATGCAAGGCGAAGACGACGAAACGAAGTGGATGTAATGCTCGATGTACTTGTTGGCATAGTTACATAAAATATTAAGAAAAAAAGTTTTCTTTTTCAAAAATAAAAAAAAAATTTATGTCAAAAAAATAAAAAAAATTTTGTTAAAGCAATAAGGATATTTTTGCTGGATAGGGACTCCCTAATCACTTTAGCGGAATGAAAAATAGATAGTAGCCGATTCTCAGACCTACTGAATACGCATATAAAATTTGGTAAAAATCGGTAAAGCCGTTTCGGAGGAGTACGGTAACTAACATTTTGACAATGTTAATTTTATATATAAGATATATATATTTATAATAATATTTATTTTATATAATAATATTTATAATATTTATATTTATAATAAACTCAGTGTATTACTTACTTACTGCTGTCCTTTTCTCCAAGATTGAGCATAGAGTCTCAACGATTCCTCTAAATCTTATTCTGTTGCCTGCTTCTCTCGTGATTTGGTTCCAAGAATACTCTGTGTCTTTAATCTCCTGGTCCATGGTTCTTCGCCATGCCTTAGCTGGGGCTCCAGGCCAACGGGTACCTTGTGCATTCCAGCGTAGGGCTTGCTTCGTTATGCAGGATGATGTTTTCCTGAGCGTGTGTTTAAGCCACTTTCATTTTCTTCTTATGAGTTCAGTGGCGAGTGGCACTCCGGCCATTATATTTTCAATATTCTTCTTAAACATTTGTTTATGAATACTTGGATGTGTGATAGATAAATAGAGGCCTAGTTTTTTCACGTTTCACATATGTAATACAAAGTTGATTTGACGTTCCAGCTAAATATACGAAGCTTAGTGTGGGTGCTTATTTGATTAGACTTCCACACATTATTCAGTGTATTATGATGGTCCAATTAAAATAATATTAAGCTTTATTTCATTAATAAAGGCAAGGGCGACATATAAGGCAATTGCTCCGCTCTAAAAGTGTATCCAAAAAACTAGTTCATAAAAAAAGAGGGCACATAGGGTAATGACATATATGCCATAGATCGATGTCGAAGGTATGGATTAGAGTGCAGTCCAGAGTGATAATTTTAATACTCAGAGTGTACTTATAAAAGACAAGTATTAATGCGAAGACTATATTAATTTTATGTAACTGTTTTTTGTACTTTATCAGTGCTATACTTTATAAGTGTAAGAAAAAGTACTCATGAGTACTCTTAAGATACTCGAGTAGTACAAATCCGTGAGTACGTATACGCAACTTAAGTTGATGATTGCCATAGTCTCATAGCGTTTTCGATTGATAAATCTGGGGTAACTTTTTTAATAGAGATTTACTTTAACACTCGAGATTAATATATAATATTCGAGATAATTTTATAACACTCTAGATATTTTGTCAGAGTAGCAAGATTACCCTGAAAAAATGTTGTTGTTGTTTTGTTTAGATAAATAAAAATATTTACTAGATTTTAAACTACGTATAGCTTTTAAATATATTTTTGAGTGACATTTTTTGAGTGGCAAACAAGCAGAGTACAAAAGTATTTTTAAGAGAATGGATCATTCTGTTGAGTAAAGATACTTAAGAACTCATTGCAATTCTCTGGTATATACATGTGTATGTACAGGCAATCTTGAGCTCTGACTAAAAATAAACTCCTGATTTTAATGTAATGACATTGTATTTAGTGAATTATATAGAAAATAATATTATTGAGCAGAACTAGTTTGATTATTTCAATCAATATTTTTTTATTGCTTCTTAGTATATATAACGACAAATCTTTTAAGGTTACACATTGTAAATTAATTTTTTTCCAATTTATTTACAAATTATATTGCACTGACAGGAATTGTTATAATACATTGAATATATTAAAAGCTAAAGCTGCCAGTTTCATGGTTACCCATTTCTAGATATATGTGTGAGTTTCCTTTTTATAATCAACGTTGTTTTTTGGAAATATTCAATTCAATGAAATTTAAATGCTTTTAAGAACTTTAATAACAACACAAAGTATTTACCAAACATAACCTATTTTAAAATTTTATGTAGTTGCGGTACCTTCCCTTAACAAATATTTTAGGTTTCATTAAAAATTTTAACTTGTTTAAATCCGTCAACGTTTTAATAACAGTACAAAGACTAATATACTCTATAACACTACAGAGTTAAGAAGTCTAACTCTTAGTGTCTTCAGTACCCATTCACACTGTAATTAGAAACATATGAATAAAGAGAGACAACTATTTTTACAATATTACTATTTTTGTAATACTGCAGCAATACCAAACACTTTCTGCAATAATACTGGTATACTGCATATGAGCACAATGGAAAAAAATGAGAACATGAGATTTATTTTCGTGTTTCTTTGCGCTAGTAGGTTGTAAGAGAGTGTAAGAGAGCAAACGTATATACAACAGTTAATCAGTTAATGCACATTGACTTGCGTTTTATGGTGATCCTGTGGTCACCATGTATAATTTTAGTTTAAGATAATAAAGCGTATTTTTTTTAGCTTTTTTTTAATAGAAATATTTATACTTTTGAAAAAACAAGTGTAATATTTATTGTAGAAATATATAATAATTAAATACTTACCAGCATAAATATAGACTTCATACAATAAAATGTAGGGTAACTTTAGTGTAGTTGTAACTAAGAAAAATATATTAAATTTTTATACAAGCTTCCTGTAGCAACAAGATAAAGTATACATAAATATTAAGACTCACAAATTGAACATATTCATACATAAATAATGAAGTTCATCATACGCTATGTTGAACCAAAAAGAATATCAAAGAGAAAGGACCATAACGCACAAAATCCCCGCGGTTAAAAACACAAAATGTAAACAAACAAACGAAAAACCAAAAAATCTACAAAATAAGTTCATAATTTAAGAACTTATTTGTTATGAGGTATAAAGTTTTTCGCTAAAGATTTCACTAGATACAAAAGCACTTAAAAGGAAAACAGATACATTGTAAAAAATAGCAATTAAATTTCTTAGCATGCATATTGGTGAACTTTCCATAGAATAATAATTTCTTGAGAAAAAACTTTCATTAGTTGATGAAAGTAATGCTATGAAGTATAAGAGTTAATGATATGATAAAGTAAGAAAAAAAGTATGAAAGTCAGTCACTGAAAACGTTGACTTAATGAAGCATATATTTCAATAACTTTTTACTTCATACATACTTTATAGCTTACATTTCGCTTTATTCAGCACTTTTCATGTATTTTCTTGAGTTTTTATGAAACTGGTAGTTTTAATTTTCTCTGCAGGTGCTCATCACCAAGTTGCGTTCTGCAAATACCGTGGAAACCCGGCAATACCGGAAGGCAGCTAAGGCGCTACTCGTTCTAATACCACTTTTTGGCATTACATATTTGGTTGTTTTGGCTGGTCCCACCGAGGGTGGTGTTATGAGTCATATGTTTGCGATTGTGCGTGCGCTGCTATTAAGTACACAGGTAAATTCAAATAAAAAGCAATATCATAACAATAAATAGTATTGACGCATATTTTTATGGTAAAATTTATTCAATTATGCGAAACGAAATCAATTTTATTAATATTTTTTATTATATTTTTCTTCTTTTTTGTTGTTTTTTTTGTTTACATGCTGACATTCGCAGGGTTTTTCAGTGTCGCTGTTCTATTGCTTTTTGAATTCGGAGGTGCGTACCGCTTTACGGCATCACATTTCAACTTGGCGCGATGAACGGAATATACAACTCAATCAAAGCAGAAGGTGAGTGTAAATAATATGAATTGCAAATCCATAAGTAAATAAAAAGCAAAAATCGGTGGAATTAAAAATTTTTTATTGCCTCGTGTAGGTTTCAAAAAGCCATCCTGTAGTGTAGGGGAATATGTCTTATGAAACGCTTCTGTATAATTCCTAGCAACTTAATTTCAATTTAATTTTCTTTATTCTTAATAATTTTATGCTCTTAAATTCGATTTTTATGCAAATATTTTAAATTTTAATATTGTAAATTTTCTATTATAATGAAAATATGATAAAGGGCGAACATATGTGTAAAAATTTAAGGAAGTATGGCTTCTTTATTAAACGTTTAAAGTAACTTTGTTCTTTAAATAATGCAGAGATTATTTAAACGATTAAAGATTCTTTAATCTTTAATGGTTATTTTGTGAAAAATATTCCGGTGTATCGTCATCATAGATAATATTATTTATTCTTGCATATGGCTTTCATCACCCTTAAAAATTAAAGGATAAACAGCCGTAACATATAAGTAACGGACAGATTTCATAATTAATTAGCCCAATTATTTTTTAATTTTTTAATTGTTACTTAAAAATTATATATTAAATATTTATTAGATTTAACTGTAGGTTCTAAAAACATGAAAAAATTTCTTAAATACAGAAATATATTAATACAATTTGATGATACTATAATTTTTACGTGAGTGCAAATAGTCCTATAATAAAATTTAACATTTTATTATAATCTGTAAATGAAGCTTGAAAAGATTTTACGTTTAACATCACAAATATTTGAAAATATACACTTTTTAAGAGTGTGTATTTTTGAACCGGGACAAGATATTTAAAAACAGACAGTAAAGATACGATTTTTCTAAAAACAACATACGCATTTGTTAAGTACATTTTACGCAATAAAAAACATGTATGCCAATATCAAAGAATAGCCAACTGAAATGATACACAGGCAATCCTCGAAGTACTTAAATTTTATGAAGTAACTAGACTTTCCAACTTTCTAGAGACTTAATTACTAGTTGCTAAACAACTTTATAGGATTTAAGTACTTCTATAAAAAACTGGAGACTCCATTATACTCCAATACTTGTCGCAAACAATCAAATATGGATTTTTTAGGTACCAAGACATAGAATTGTAAGTAAAAAAAATTCGTATAATATAGAAATGTCAGGAAAGTAGCAATAATTTTGCTGATATAGATCTAACACGCTTACGTAGCTTAAAAAAGGGTAATATTTTACTATTTAGTAGAAAACAAGAGAAAAATACAACACTATATCTCATATATCTCCTATTCATTTTATTCTAAACAAAGCATGTTCTAAAGCGCTTATAGGGACCACAATTTGGAATTGTTTGAACTATTCTTACCAACTTACCCATAAGAATTTTTGAGGTAAGTAGGTAATTCCAAAAAAACACCTTACCAACTTTTCAATAATAATTTTCAAGTTAAGTCAGACATTGAAAAACGAACTATTAACTAAATAAACTGAGAAATCTCATTAAAAGAATTTGAAAAAATAAACAGAAGTAGTGAGAACGTTCCAAGTATTGCTGCGTAAATGAAATACTTAATACAAAACAACCCAACCCGTAGTTTAAGATTCAGTAAAATAAGACAAATACTGCTATTTATTCAGAAAGTAGACCTGAGTTAATCACTCAAAACCCATGAAGGGCACAGAATTGATCTAAACATCATACTGTTTTATACTCCCATAATAAAATAATTCATCTATATATATACTTTGTGAGAATATATAGTAACCAAATAATCATAGATTCAAATATCTATCTATATCTAGACAAATTTATTGCTCATGATCAATACTAATTACATGTATAATATCTGATTTGGCCCACTGTGCCGCATAACCGCACAATATAGAAAGAGGCGTAAGCGACTTCAAATTGTTTTATGTAATTCCTAGCTTAAATTTCAACGCCTTTGGAAAAATAAATAAATGATTTAGGTAGACTTCAACTAACATTTCTCAAAACTGATTTTAAAGTTTTAATAATGATTTAGAGTACATTTGGAAATATGTTTTTACAATTTTTGTGGTTTATTTATAAGAAACTTTTGCACTCACTGTGTTGTTAAAAGAAAGTAGCACATAAGTCACAACTATATAAATTTAAGTAATTATTGTTAACCATTGTATGTTTTTTTAATATTTTTAACACTATTGTCTATAATTTTACAATTATTGGTTGTTGTGCAATTAAAAAAGATCAAACATAACTGTCAAAAATCAAAACTCTCCAAATTGATTTTAATGAAGATGCCATATAAACTTTTAATTCAAATTCAAAAATCTTTTTTTCTAAAAATTACCACTAAGTCTCTATAAGTGACAAAACCAGAGTAAACAACTTTAGTTACTTTAAAATTCATACTTCTCTGAAATAAATAACAGCTTAGTGCACAATTTTCATGTTTCAATTTTATCTGTTAATCACTCCTCTACAAATCGTACAATCCCATTAATCTATTTTATCTGTTATTTTCAAAACTTCTACACAATAAAATTTGTTATATACATATATTTAAAGTAATGCAAAATCCAGATCATCAAATACTAATTTGTAAATTCTCTTCAGATATGTCATATTAATGCAAAACCAGGCATCACCTTTTAAATAACAAATTAGCTTAACAGTCGACAACATTTGAGCTTTGACATGTAAACGATTAACCAAATCTGTAAAATAAATTTATGACTATAGAGAGATAAAAACCAAACACTACCTCTTATTGCTGCGTTGCCATATCACATACATTAAATATCAAGCAATACAAAGCCAAACCACATCAACACATTCTCATAATTACTCTGATTATCGTACATAATAATCGAATTAGTTAAATTACCATGAATCAATTTGGCAGCAAAGGACTCATGCTTGAGTTCATTTTAATTGAAAATTTATGTGGCAAGGCAAATTTACCTAAAACATTCCGCATATGACAATGCCAATATACAACACATGTAAATGAATACGAATGCGACTGAAAGGTGGAAAAATGTTTGGTTAAAGTGTGGTCTTGTGACTAAGTTCACCACAGAAGTGCAAACATTTTTAAACCACAATTTTACCAACACATAGAACTCTACATTCAACTTCCTAGATAAACTCATCCAGATGGATGTGTGTCGAAATGTAATAATTGGTAAACTTATGTCTCCATTAGCTGTCATAAAAAATGCATGCATTTATGTGCATGCACTAGACGCTTTAGTGCAGGCATTCATAGGAATCTCTTTAAATTATGCAAACCAAATAATGTCAAATTGTCAAGTTTTATTATTCCAACATATGGTCCGTATATTTTCCCTAGAAGCTGTATATAAATTTAATGTTGTTCAATATGCATAGTGTCATTTGTAGTGCACATATAAAAAAAGTTGTAATGATCAATTTTTGCAGTAAAAATAAAAATTGATCTTACAGCGTTGAGGACCTAGGATAAGTGAATAATTAAAAACACTGAATGTCAAATATTTCATAGATATTACCTCGAATCCTCACGACTGGTTCGCAAACAGGTCTTTTGGTTTGTCGTTCTCACTTTCGTTTGCAATGAATTTTAATTAATATAGAATTTTAATTATTATTTAGGAAAAAAAAGAAACTAGCACTCAAACACATTTATGGAACAAAAGAAAAAAATCAAAACAAAATAACAACGTGAGAAATGTCATTTTTAATTTGTTTTTTTACATTTTCGTTTGATCGCCAAAAATTTGCAGCGGGATATAGAAAGAGCTGAGTGTGCAGCGTAAACATCGCAAAGTGAAGAAAACCAACCAAACATCTGGTGAGGGGAAGTTTGAGTGCATTGACCGCGAAACGGCTAATTGAAAAATCCGTTCTAGGCAGTTATAAAGAAATTAAATAAAAGGAGCAGTCGGAGGAGCTTCCTGTCTCTTTGGTTAGTTTTTTTGAAACGAAATGTATAAAACGAGTGACAGAGTTTTCCTTGGAGGGATTTGATTAAAAAAAATATAGAAATATCCAAGCATAAGTTTTTTTGTTGCGGGCTCGGTTAAATATACTCGAAATAAGTGTTTTGTGCGGTAATTTGAATATTTAACACTGCATATACCAGGTGAAATTAAAAACAAATAATTTAAAAAAAAACTGGGATATTCAGAAGTAATACGAGGAAAAAAAATTAAAATATGTAACAATCCGCATAGAAAGTGGCACAAGGTTAATTTTCATGTGAACTACCACTTAGCGTGGACTCCAATCAAACTAAACTTGCGTTTAAAATTAAAGAAAAAAAGGGAAAAAGATTTGAAAAAAAAGGTAAAATCATAAAAACTAAATAACTAAAGTTTAAAAGAAAGAAATTAACTGGAATGCAAAAATAACTTGAAACATTAATAAAAAAATTAAATAACGTGCTTAATTGGTGACTCCGAACCATGTATTATATTCGTAATAATTTTTTTTAACATCGAAGAAGAAAGTATTTCGAACAACATCTATTAAATACTTTTATCAGTGAGAAACTATATATAGTGTCTTTCCAATAAATAACACAATCAAATTTTAAGAACTGAATTAAAGAAAAAACACACAACGCGACCGCGTCAGCAACATCATCAACGGCAATAACTACTCAGACGCTAGCAGCCGCTACCCCAGCTATAATAACGTCGCTCCTGGCACATAGCACCAGCGGACAAATATTTTCCATTTCTCCTATATCTCTTTATATATTAAAATTATATTATATTATATAGGTTCTTTGCATAACTTATATGTTCATATGTATGAATTGTTAGTTACTTTATTTTTTGTTAACTATATTTTTTTTCTTACTTTTGTTGAAACAATATGTATGAATTGTTAGTCGTTTTATTTTCAATTATATTTTTTTTCTTTTGATGTAACCATAGTAAATTCAAAATAGTAAATAATTTAAGTCCATTTGAGTTTTCTTAAGATATTCTTATTTAGTATTAATAAATAGAAATATATT